TAAACCCTAAACCCTAAACCCTAAACCCTAAACCCTAAACCCTAAACCCTAAACCCTAAACCCTAAACCCTAACCCTAAACCCTAAACCCCAAAAGCCCCTGGGGCCGCCACGTCGGAAGCCCCTTGGAAGCCGAGTGGAGCCAAAGCGCGTGCAGCCCAGCTCCCAGCTGCCGCTCCACGGAGTGCTTCAACACCTCGGCACGACGTTTAGGGGGCTTAAGTTTGGGGGGTTTGGGGGGTTTAGGGGGTTTAGGGGGTGTAGGGGGTTTAGGGGGTTTAGGGGGTTAAGGGGGTTTAGGGGGTTTAGGGGGTTTTAGGGCTTAGGGTTTGGGGTTTGGGGGTTTGTGGGTTTGGGGTTTGGGGGTTGGGGTTTAGGGTTTAGGGGGCTATGAGGCATATTCTGAGGCTTACACGATTTTTGGGGCAAGCCAGGGGTCGTCTAGAGTCTATAGGGTTTGGCCTCTCATGCTGCCTGGGTCCGGGACTGAATGGCATGCAGCTACCATTGAAAAATGCCCGAAGCGCTTGGCCAATGGAGTTGGCTGTTGCCAAAGCAACCCTAAACCCTAAACCCTAAACCCTAAACACTAAACCCTGAACCCTGAACCCTGAACCCTGAACCCTGAACCCTGAACCCTACTTGAACTTAAACCCTAAATTCTAACCCTAAAACCCTAAGCCACTGGGACTCTTGCAGCACGCAGCAGTGTGCCAGCATGCCGGGAGCGACCAATGGCGAGCCTGGTGGAACGCTTCTAGCAAGGGTTTAGGGTTTAGGGCTTAGGGTCTAGGGTTAGGGTTTAGGGTTTGGGGCTTAGGGCTTAGGGTTTAGGGTTTAGGGCTTAGGGTTTAGGGTTTCGGGTTTCGGGTTTCGGGTCTAGGGTCTATCGGGTTTAGGGTTTAGGGTTTGGGGTTTGGGGTTTAGGGTTTAGGGTTTAGCGTTTAGGGATCGTCAAGCCGCGACACCCACTGGATGCCTCAATGCCGAAGAGCCCTACGACACCGAAGCCCCCGTACGCCCCGTAAAAATCTCTTGGCCCATCGCTAACCGCCACAAACCCCTCAGCACTCAAATCCCGCTATCGGTTCAGGGCTTACGCATGCTTATGCTGGAAACTAAACCCTGAACCCTAAACCCTAAACCCTAAACCCTAAACCCTAAACCCTAAACCCTAAACCCTAAACCCTAAACCCTAAACCCTGAACTGTAAAGCGTTTTCGTCTAAGCCTGTGGAGCCTCCCCAACCCCTCAAACAGCGCACCTGTTTTTGGCTCGGAGTAGTGCTCTCTCAGCGCAGAGCCTTCGCGAAAAGCTTCGGGTTTAGGGTTTTCAGGGGTCAGGGGTTCCCAAAAAAACCAAGGAAAAGAGACAAACCCTAAACCCTAAACCCTAAACCCTAAACCCTAAACCCTAAACCCTAAACCCTAAACCCTAAACCCTAAACCCTAAACCCTAAACCGCTTCATGGGGTTGAAGGAAGCCCCGAAGCCTCGCAACCACGAAGCAAGCGGGTACCAGGGCAGCCCTCCAGAAACGAGGTCCGAAAACTTAGCTGCTCCGGGGCGACTGCATGCACTTGCGAAGCATTCTGCCAACAAGTCTTAAGAACAACTTCCCGAAACCCTACACCCTACACCCTAAACCCTACACCCTGAAACCATGAACTTCAGAAGCTTCTTCGTAAATGGAATACCTGGGCCCCAAGCCCTGAGCCCTAAACGCTGAACCCTAAATTCTCCCACATCCCGAACCTCTCACATTCACCCTCCAATGTGTAGGCGCTCCGACTGAATGTGCAAGCTGCTTTTCTTGCTCACTAGGGTTTAGGCCCCTAAACCCCTAAACCCCTAAACCCCTAAACCCCTAAACCCCTAAACCCCTAAACCCCTAAACCCCTAAACCCCTAAACCCCTAAACCCCTAAAACCCCTAAACCCCTAAACCCCTAAACCCCTAAACCCCTAAACCCCTAAACCCCTAAACCCCTGAACCCCTGAACCCCTGAACCCCTGAACCCCTGAACCCCTGAACCCCTAACCCCTGAACCCCCCCCCCCCCCCCCCCCCGTCAAGCCAGCCCTTGAGCCAAGCCAACCGTCTCCAGCCAAGGGTTTGGGGTTTGGGGTTTAGGGTTTAGGGTTTAGGGGTTTGGGGTTTAGGGTTTAGGGGTTTAGGGTTCAGGGTTCAGGGCTCGGGGTTGAGGGTTGAGGGCCCAGGGTTCAGGGCTTGGGCCGGCTTCCGGAGAGGAGGTCTCGCTTAATACCCTAAACTCCCCAACACGCAAGATCCCCAAAATCAAGACCTAAAAACCCCAAACCCCTACACCCTAAACCCCATACCGAAGCGCCTAAAACGCTAAGTCCCTGACCCCCTAAAGCACTTTCTCTAAACCCTTCAAACCCGAACCCTGAACCTTAAACCCTTAAACCCTTAAACCCTTAAACCCCTAAACCCCTAAACCCCTAAACCCCTAAACCCCTAAACCCCTAAATAAACCCTTAAAAACCCTAAACCCCTAAACCCTAAACCCTAAACCCTAAACCCCTAAACCCTTAAACCCTTAAACCCTTAAACCCTTAAACCCTTAAACCCTAAACCCTCCCAAAGCTCTTGAGGGGCCAGGGCGCTGCTGCACGTGGCTTTGCCAGGCGCGGAGGCAGCAAACGGCCCGGTAGTGCCTGGCGCCTGCGCGGGCGCTGTTGAGTACCTGGCACCCAGGGGGCCCTGAGGGGGTTTAGGGTTTAGGGTTTAGGGTTTCGGGTTTCGGGTTTCGGGTTCAGGGTTTGAGTACCTGGCACCCAGGTGTCTAAGTTCCCAAAGAGCCCAATACCGTTACCCCTTGAAGAAGGACCTTGAATAACACAGGGATCCTTGACATGATTTAAGGTATGTTCCTTAAATTAAGGGGCATTGAGCGCTCTGGGTTAGTAGTTGAGGAGAGATGGAGGTGTTTTTACCAAAGCGGTCTCGACTGCACACGCCCACCCGAGAAGGGCATGCTCTGGACGGAAGGACCATAGGGTTTTGCCCCAAATCCTAAAACCGAAGCCCTGAAACCTAAACCCGAACCCGAAGCCCTAAAACCTAAACCCGGTGAATCTTAAAATTGCAGGCTCCAACTTGCCAGGCAGTCCATTCGCTGCTTGGCTGCGGCATTCTCCGCGTACACCAGCTGCTCGTCTCTTTGTCGCAGCCTCATTTCTGAGGATGGGCTTAGGGTTTAGGGTTTAGGGTTCAGGGTTTAGGGTTCAAGGTTTAGGGTTTAGGGTTCAGGGTATCACAGGGTTCATGGTTCAGGGTTTAGGGTTCAGGGTTTAGGGCTTAGAGTCGATGACCCCGGATGTCCGAGCTGGCAGCGTGGAGCCGTATTTCTCTCTCCAAGACAGGACACAAACAACTGCATAGCTGAGTTTTGCATAGTTGCGATATGTTTTTTGCGAGCAGCCCCTTGGACAGCTCCTCTTGATCAGGATTTCATCTCTCTCTCTCTCTCTCTCTGCTGGGATGTTCCCCCTTATACTCACTGTCCTTAGAAGGGATTCTAAAGAGTAGTACACTATAATCCCCTACTAAGGACTAAGGACTATTAGTATAAAGGGGGAGCATCCCAAAGCGTATGCTGCCCGGGTGCCCAGGAGCCATATTATAATAAGGGCACCCTTTGTCGGGTTGGCTACTTTATAAGGTAACCGTGAACCAACAACAACAAAGAGGCAAAGGGTACCGACTCGGCTTCCAAGTTTGTCTGCTGATAAAAATAAAAACACCGACAGAAAGAAAATAACAATACTAAGCAAAACCTCCCAAACACTTAACCCTATAAACCCTATAAACCCTATAAACCCTAGAAACTCTAGAAACCCTAGAAACCCTAGAAACCCTAGAAACCCTGTCACCCTACAACCTCTACGAACTCTATAAACCCTAGAATAAACCCTGTAAACCGGTATAAACCCTTAACATCCCTTAACCGTCAAACTGCCACAATGAAGGGACACTGGGCTGATGGCTGTTGCAGCAATTCCCATCTTTCCCAGTCTCGCGCAGCCGCCTGTGCCATGCTTAAGCTGTGTAGGGCTTAGAGTTTAACATTTCGGGCTTGTTTGACAAAGGAAATCCGCTCACCCAAATGCTACACCCGACATAAATGCCCACTACTACACTCCTACGGGGTCCCTCATGTGGGGGATTGAAGCAACCTGAGGTCGAGATGCAGGTTCCCAGCCTCTTGGCCCAGGTATTCCGACCGTCGGGTCTGCTGCAACAACAGCTCCTGAACACACGAGCACTCCTCTTCCCCCACGAGCATCCCACCACAAGCAAAAACAGTAAATGCGAGTACATTCTCTGATATTATAGAATTGCAGTTGGCCATCTTCTCAATCAGGTGCTCCTTCAGGCTCTGCACGGTGTCAGCATCCTCCGGCATATGTAAGATACGCAACACATGCACAGTGCAGCGAAGCATACTCTCACATGCGGGCCTCAACACCGTCTTGGAGCGCTGTCCGGTGCTCTGGTTCGCACTCCATGGCCCCGCAGGCGCTACTCGTGTTCAAACTTGTTTCCATGTTCGGGCTTCAGATGCAAACATGTGAAACTCAAATCCTGATTTACAGCAACTATTCAAACGGTTTAGGTTACAAATACTGTGGGGGCTGTCTCTGCTTGCACATGGTGAACATGCCATGTCACCATGAAGCCAACTTTGTCAAATTTGCAATTCGGCCATTTTTGTGTCCGCCCTGCCCCCCCCCCCCCCCCCCCCGGTTTTCCGAATCTATCCACATCGGAACATCAACCGAAAAAAAACATTCGTACTGTAAGTCTCAACATGCAAGCTAGCCTACGCGCTGCCTTTTGAGCTTGGGACAACCGCACTTCCTGCCTCCCGGATTTTTCGGCGCAGAAATCGCTGCGTGCATTAACGTGTGCCCAGCGGGCGAGTTTGTGCCTCACGCTGAGCCTTGCAT